AAGTATTGTATTTGTTTTTGTTTTTTTGGTTTTTTAGGCAGTTGGGGTTAAGTGACTTGCCCAGGGTCACACAGCTAGTAAGTGTCAAGTGTTTGGTCTGAGGCTGGATTTGAACTCAGGTACTTCTGACTTCAGAGCCAGTGCTCCACCCACTGTGTCACCTAGCTGCCCCCCACATATTCTCTCTCAAATTATATTGTAAACTCCTTGAGGGAAGAGATTATGTCCTGACCTTTTCATTTATCCCTTTCCACCACACACAACAGTAGAGTACAGTTCTTTGTATGCAGTTGGTACTCAATAAATGCTTGCTGATTGATTGAGATATAGACAAGACATTTGATCCGAGTGGCCCTTACTGTTTATTCATACCAACAGTTGTGGCAGGAAGAGTAAAAGAAAAGGAAGAGAATAAGCATTTATAAGGCGGCTGTTGTACGCCCAGCACTGTGTTAAGTGCTGTTTACAAAACTATCTCATTTGGAGACTAGGGAGGAAAGAGAGCAGAATCAAATCCAAATTGATCTCCCTGGCCCTACTCTCTTCTGCCATCTGATCCAATCTTGGCTATTAAAATGATATTGCTAAAGCACAGATGTGACCATATCATTCCCCTGCTCACAAAACTCTTTTCTATTGTTGAGTCATTTTTCAGTCACGTCTGACTCTTCCTGAGCCCCATTTGGCGTTTTCGTGACAAAGATATTGGAGTGGTTTGTCATTTCCTTCTCCAGCTCATTTTACAGATGAGGAGCAGAAGCAAACAGGGTTAAGTGACTTGCCCAGGGTCACACAGCGAGTAAGCATCTGAGGCCAGATTTGAACTCACTGAAGAGTCTTCCTGACTCCAGGCCCAGCACTCTATCCACTGCACCACCTAGCTGCCTTACAAAACTCTGGTGACTCCCTTACTTTTAGTATAAAATACAAATTTCCCCCTTTGATGAGATGGATATCACCATTCCTATCAAGTTTTCCCTTTTAGGTCCCATGTCCCATCAAGACTCCTAAACACTGCTTTCCTCTTTGGCCATCAACTCCAATTGACCTATACACACACACACACACACACACACACACACACACACCCTTCACCCCATTGAGAGTATTGGTTCAGCATATAGCTTGTTACTATACTTTCTATCCTCCCCAGGCACTGAGTCCCATTTTCTGCAGGAGGACCTTCCTATTCTCCCTAGCTCCTAGTGTTTTCCTCTCCAAGATTGTTCTTTGTATGTTTCTGTTTATTTACAGGCTTAGCACAGTGCCTGCCACGTAAGTGTTTAAAAATTCTTATTGGCTGCCTGTTGGCTACTTGGCCTCATAAACCACACCAGAAGCCACATCCTGGAGGAACTTCTGTCCTTCTGACTGGTGACTGCCTCTCCTGCAACATTATCTTAGGAAAACACCAGGCAAGATTCATTCCATTCTACAAGCTCCTTCCCAGAATACCTATTCTTCCTGTGTGTGTGTGTGTGTGTGTGTGTGTGTGTGTGTGTGTGTGTGTCTTTGTCCCTCTATTCCCACCGCAGTTCTGGAACCATGATCAAATTAACTCTCCCACTGTTCCTGGATGAGGTGTGTAATCTGCTTCCCTATGGCCCCACTCAGCATCTCTCTAACTTTCTAGATCACAGTACCCCTACTTGACCTCCTGCTCTCCTATACGTGTTATTCTCCCTTATGTAAGCTCCTAAGGGCAGTGACTGACTTTGTGTTTTTATCTGTATATCTAGGGTTTATCACAATAGTAAGTGTTTAATAAATGCCTCTTCATATATGCATATACATACTAACATTCATCTTCCTTTTTTGATTTTGTGTTGGCTATCCCCCATGTCTGAATGTGCTGTTCCCTTACCTCTGCCTCCTAGTTTCCCTGCTTCTTTCAATACTCATCTCAAAGCCTACCTTCTGCATAGACTCTTTCCTTGCTAGAAAGGGGATGTATAAGCCTCTCCTTTCAGAATGCTTTCCATCTACTCTGCATATATCATATTATATCATATCATATCATATCATATCTCTATCTATCTATCTATCTATCTATCTATCTATCTATCTATCTATCTACATAACCTGATTATTTACATGTTGTCTTCCACATTAAAATGTATGCTCCTTGAGGGCAGGCACTATTTTTTTTTTACCTTTCTCTGTATCCCCAGTACTTAGCACCATGACTGGCACAGAATTAAGTGCTTGATAAATGTCCATTGACTGACTGAGACAGCCATGATAAAACTGCAACTTTCCAATGGGGAAAATCATCTGGCTTGCTTCCCCTTGATAGTGAAGTCATCAGAGGCAGGAGGACTGATGCTGAGCTCTTCCATCCAAAATAATGACTAGAATACTTTGGCAGCCAAAAGTCGCCGTATAAAACAAAGGTTTGGAGATAGGATTACAACCAAGAATCACCTACCCAGCAAAACTGAGTATAATCCTTCAGGGGGAAAAAATGGTCATTCAGTGAAATAGAGGACTTTCAAGCATTCCTGATGAAAAGACCAGAGCTGAATAGAAAATCTGACTTTCAAATACAAGACTCAAGTGGAACATGAAGAGGTAAACAGGAAAGAGAAATCATAAGAGACTTATTAAGATTGAACTGTTTACATTCCTGCATGGAAAGATGATATTTATAACTCATGAGACCTTTGTCAGTATTAGGGTAGTTGAAGGAAAAAAATTATATGTATAGATAGATAGATAGATAGATAGATAGATAGATAGATAGATAGATAGATAGATGGCACAGGGTGAGTTGAAGATTAAGGGGTCATATCTGGAGAATAAAATTAAGGGATGAGAGAGGATGATACTCGGAGAAGAAGAAAGGGAGAGGTAGAATGGGGTAAATTATCTCACAAAAAAAACAGAAAAGAAAAGTCTCTTACAGTGGAGGGAAGCAGGGGAAGGTGAGAGGGAATGAATGAATCTTATTCTCATAGGATTTGGCTTAAGGAGGGAATAACATACAAGTTCAAAATAGGGGGAGAAAGGGACAAGAGAGCAGGGGGATGATAGAGAGGAGGGCAGATTGGGAAAGGGGTAATCAGAAGGAAATACTTCTGAGGAGGGACAGGGTCAAAAGAAAGAATAGAATAAATGGGAGGGCAGGATAGGATTAAGGGAAATAGAGTTAGTTTTTCACAACATGTCTACTATGGAAGTGTTTTGCATAACTGCACATGTATAACCTATATTGAGTTGTTTGCCTTTTCAATGGGGGGATGGGGGGAGGAAGAGAGAAAATTTGAAACCTAAAGTTTTAAAAACATATGTTTAAAAAAATGTTTTCACATGCTACTGGGAAATAAGAAATACAGGAGATGGGGTATAGAAGTCTATCCTGCCCTACAGGAAAATAGAAGGGGAAGGGGATAAGAGAAGGGGGGAGAGATAGAAGAGCAGACAGACTAGGGGAAGGTATATTCAGAATGCATGCCATCTTGGGGTGGAGGGAGGGGTGAGATGGGGCAAAATTTGGAACTCAAAAACTTGTGGAAGTGAATGTTGAAAACTAAAAATAAATAAATTTATATTAAAAAAATAAAACAAGGGTTTCATGTCTGCATGTTTGAATTCATTTCATATTTCTCCTTTGGATTATAACTAAGTAGAGCAGTTCATTGGCTAAAGGTAATAATCTAAAACTCTTTCTCTGAATATACTATACTGATGCCTTAAGTAAATGAACAAACAAATAAACGACTAAGTAGATAGATAAATGAATTGGTGATATATAATAAGTATATAAGCAGACAGGTAGATAGTTTTTTCATCAAACCTGTCATAGAATTTCTCACATCTGAGCCCAGAGATTTTCTTTGACTTCTTTTATTGAAATGACAGCTCTAAATAAGCACGGTGATCTTTAATGACAGCCATGAGTCCATCTGCTTTAGCAAAAATCCTTTTGGCTCCTATGTCAATTATTCCAAAGGTGATTTATAAGGGCAGGAGTTGAAAACTTGGTTAAGATTTTGTCAATTCTGATTACTAAACACTGTGCCTTTCTGTTGGACTTAATTCCTTCACAATGGGGCAGATATAGGGGTGCCTTTGTGGCAATGTTTCCTACTGTGAGTGAAGGCCACGGCATTACACAATCACAGCATTTTGGAGTGGGAAGGATCCTAGTCCAGACCTCACTCTTTTCATCACAGCAGAGTTAGAACTGGTACAGTGGAAAGAGCAATGACTTTAGTCAGAGAACCCAGATTCAGATCTTAGCTGTAACATTTTATTATCTTGTGACCTCGAGCAAATCAGTCTTCCTTGCCCTCCATTTGTAAAATTAGAGGATTGGACCAAAGTGTCTCAGGGATTCCTTTCAGGTCTAGATATAAGATTCTATGACCCTAGAATCCAGATTTCCTTACTACCAGCCTTGGCTTCTTTCGACAAATATGTGATGCCTCTGTGTCTATTTACTTTATGTTGTAGGAGAATGTAGAGGTAATTCCAGATAAATTTTTATAAACTAATGATATCGATGGAACTCTACTACTATTCAAGAGGACTGGAATTTTACCTGACCATAGAGCTCCAACCACAGCCAGTAAGACATCAGGGTGTGGGAAGAAAATTATAACGTGTATTTTTCTCCCCCCTCTCACTACTCCATTAACTATTCCAAAGCTGTATGCTCCTTACCAATAATTTAACACGTCGCACTAGAGGTAGAAAAGTTATGTAATTAAAAACTTTTATCTACTTCTAAGCCAGTGCAGAGCAGTAAAATCTTGGCAATGACTAATTTAATCCAAAATAAGTATAATCAGGCCTTAATAAAGAGAGAAGTAACATTGGCCAGGAATTTTGCATCAAGCAAAGAAAACAGATAGGAATTGCAAGTAATCAGTTACGCTCAAAATTTCCATTAGTTTCAAACATACCTGTTTGACCGGTTTTTTAAAGTTTGGTAGAACAGATCCTACCCAATTAGGACCATATATTAACTCTACCTTCTAAACTCATGCAAATATTACCTGTTTTCTGATGACAATCACTGACTTCAGGGGGTTTAGCTTCTTATGCAAGCATTACCATTTCCAACAGGTGGCAGCCAGGAGCATAGAAAGAACCAGGCGTAGTGTCTGGAATTCTGGATGGCACCCTCTAGAAAGAAAAACAAGGCAGAATGGAAGATCTTGTAAGCTATCTATCCATTAAAGTGAAAGGAGAAATACACTTTTTTCTCCATTGGCACAAGACATTTTAAGGATGAAAATCGAAAATGGAAATGAAAATGAAAATGGAAAATATATTAATTAAGTGTACATTCAGCGCAAATCTGGTTTACTTACCTACGTACCTTACTTATACACCTAGATATGCCAGATACATATTTAGCCAAATTAGTCTTTAATGTCCTTGTAAAATGAGAGGGTTGGCCTGGATAGTTCCTAAACGTCCTTCCAGTTCTGTATCTATGACCCTATATAATTTGTACTGCTGAAAGTCTCACATATTTGCAGTAGTTTTAGAGTCAGAAGATTTGGATTCTAATCTTGTCCAGAGAGAAGTTTTGACACCTGGAAAAATTCATTGAGGTCATCAGAGCTATTCCTAGACCATAGATAAACCAATCAATAATTATTAATTAAGAGCCTACTATTAGTCCATCAATAAACATTTCTTAAGTACCTACCATGCACCAGGCACTGTGCTAGGTACTGGGGTTACCAATATAAATAACAAAACAATCCCTACTCGCAAGGAGCCTACATTCTAATGGGAGAGACAAGAATATATAGAGCATATGTAGGAGAAATACAAAGACAATGCATTTAAAGTAGGTAAATACAAGGTAGTTTGAGAGGGAGGGCACAAGGGGGATGATAAAAGCATCATGTAGAAAATGGTCATTGAGGTGAGTATGGGAGGAAAAGAAGGCTCCTATAAGGCAGAAGTGAAGCGCAGTGAACTCCATGTATGATGGACGGCCAGTGAAAGTGGAAATGCGAGATGAAGAGCCAGGAGTGAGAAACCAAGTGGAGGAAAGTTTGTCTGGATTGAAGAGTTCAGGAAAGGGAGTAATATACAATGAGACTGAAAAGACAAATTGAGGCAAAGTTGTGAATATTTTTTAAAACTAAACAGAGGAGTTTATATTTGAATATATAACAATGGGAAGCCACTGGAGTTTATGAAGGAGAGGAGTAATAGTCAGATACGCTCTTAAGGAAAATCATGTTGGCAGCAATCAGGAGGAAGGACTGTAGTGAAGAGAGACTTGTGGCAGTGAAATCAATCAGGAGGCCACTGCTATAACCTAGGAAAGAAGTGATAAGGGCCTGAACTGAAGTAGTAGTCGTGTTAGGAGGGAGGCGTCAGATGCAAGAGACGTCATGCAGGTAAAAATGCAAGATTTGGCAGCTGATTGGATATTTGGAGTGCAGAGCCAGCGGTAATAGCAAGTGACAAATCCAGGCGCCTTCCAGAGAGGTAAGAAAGTTTGGAAGAGAGCAGCATTTTGGAGGGAAATACCTGGAGTTCTCTTTTGAACATAATGAATTTCAAATGTCTCTGGAACGTCCAATTTGAAATTTCCAGTGTGCAAGTACTGATGCTGGATTTTAGCTCAAGGGAGATATTGGACTGAATAAATAAATAGATGTCACACATCCCATGTAGGCAGTTGTGTATAGCACTCATCCACTAAGTCATAGGATAGCTGTGATCTGCTTTTAGAAGAAGTTCTACACACTGCCAAAATCCCAGATCCTTTTAATTAATAACAGTATAGGAACAAATTTCAAGATGTATTGGTTTCTGAGAAAATTATACGGGGAGGAATCTGTTTGGGGTTAGAGAGCAGGCATGACAACAGAATATGGAAGTTCCACTTGACTCTTGTTCCTCTGACCACCAAATTAAGATTCTGAAATCTCCCCAATTACTCCATCACCCTTTTCTGAACTCTTTATAGCTAATATCTGAACCACACAACTTAGCATTCCCTTGTATTTGTTTACTAATCATTTTTCAATGTGTCTTGATTCATCTCCCCCACCAGATTATCAGCTCTTTGAGGGCAAAACAAACAAAACAAAACAAAACAAAAAACCATGTCTGTCTCATACTTTTTTATCTTTACGCCTCTTCTCTCTTCCACTGTATAGAGGTCAGAGTTCATGTCTACTTAACTTACAAAATGAAGCACGAGCACAGCATCATGTGCATTGTTGATAAATAATGCTATGTGAAATAAACAGAACTAATAAAATGAGTGTGTGTGTGTGTGAGTGTGTATATGTACAATGTCTAGAACAACAATAACAAAATGAAACCATATCAAGTTTGGCCCCAAAGAAGAGAAGATTTATCTCCCTCCCTTCCCTCCAGAGATACTGGACTATGCATATGAAATATCATATACATTGTCAAACTTGGTTAATATGCATTTGATTATTTTACTGAATTGCCTTTTTTTTCCCCTTTCTCTTTTATTCACATCTCTCTCTGGGGAGAAGGATACATTTGGAAATGTAGATGATATAAAAACAAGAGAGAACGATAAAATGTCTAAATAAATAATATTTGATCCTGCTGATAAAGACCTGATTTCAGGAGAGGGCATAGGGGCATGGCAAAATGGATAGTTCAAATTCAGCTTCAGACATTCACTAGATGTTTTAACCTGGGCAAGTCACTTAGCTTCTATTTGCCTCAGTATGCTCATATGTAAAATGGAGATAATAATAGCAACTACTTTCCCTGGTTGTATTGAGGATCAAATGAGATAATAATTATAAAGTACTTATAAATATTAGCTATTATCATGAGAGATTTGGCTTGGAGCTGAGACTAGAATTCAAGTTTCCTTACTCCTAACCTGATGTTCTTCCCACTACATAATAAACAACAAACATTTATTAAACACTTGTCACATTCAGAACATGACATTAGGTGCTAGAGGCGTATACAGATATATTTAACACACATGGTCAAAGATTATAAAGTCTGAAAAGTCACTTTAGGGACCATCTAGTCCAATTCACTAGTTTTATAGTGGAGGAATTGCCACCCAGAAAGGTTAAGTGACTTAACCATGGTTACACAGTGAATGAATGGCAGAGCCTAGATTTGAACACAGGTCATTTGACCCCAAAACCATCATTCTTAACACTGTATCATGCTGCCTACCACGATCCCATTTCCATAGATTTTATAGTCCATCTATCACACTACATGGATACATAAAAATGCCCACCTCAAAATTTAAGGCATTGGCATCAGACATATCTGTTAAGCTCCTGAAATTCCCTGGAAAGATATAATAGGAGGTATAGTACAAATTTTAATTAAATCTTGATGATGGAGGAGAAAAGCAACATGAATCATCAATCAATAAGCATTTATTAAGCCCCTACTATGTGTCAGGTACTTAGTTGTGCTAAGAGATGCTAAGAGGCAGAGATACAAAGATAAAAGGGAAACAACCCCTATTCTCAAGGTGCTTATGTTCTAATCAGGGAACCAATATGAACTTTTATTAACTAATACTATTATTAGTTACAAAAATAATTATTGTGGGAAGGGGTTCATAGACTTTACCACACAGCCAAAGGTATCCTTGCCACAAAAAAAAAAAAGATTAAGAATCCATGATCTAACTCATCCAACCTTTTCTTGAACAGGGATCCCCTCAATGGCATCCACAATAAGTGGATGTTTAACCTTTGCTTGAAGGGAGTGGAGACTTACTATGGTCTGATGCCTTCTATCGCACTTTAGAACAACTGTCATTGCCCAGAAGTGTTTTCTTAACATCAAGCCTGTGTGTCTCTCTCTCTGACATTCACCCATTGTCCACCACTCACCCTCAAGTTTTGAGAATTTCCCTTCTCTCAGGGAAATTGAGAGGTGACAAAAGCAGGAGCTAGGTTATTACTCAGACTTTCCATTTTTGAATATCTACAGTCTAAATTTAGATAAATGTATTTTTCTCTGTCTCGGTAGATTACCCTCCCATTACTTTCCCCATCAGGTGCCCTTCCAGGTTTATCTTCTTTCATGTTCCCTGGCAGCTGGCCTCTTGTTGCTGCTGGAGGTGAATTATGCAGGGTGGTCAAGAGGGGAGGGAATTAAGGGGGAGAAAATCTTTTGCAGCATCTGTTGAAATGGTTTTCAACTGACAGAAACTTCAAATGCATAGAGCACCCAAAGAATTGAACTGGGGACTATTAAAAAAAAAAGACTGTGACATTTGCCCTTTTCTAGTCCTTGGGGAAAAAAGCAATCTATTCTCTTCACAGATAATTCCCATTAGTGCTAAGTAGAGCTAGAGAGGCTCAGAGAGAATGTTCTTTGGTGTTGTCTAGGCCCAGCACTTTTGAATTCATCTATGGCTTTCATTCTTTATTGTTTGCAGAATGGCATAGGGAATGAACATCCTCTCAACGCCCTCTCGAGCCTCAACCCTTCTGGGCTCACATGAGAAACTGGCAATTTAGAAAGAAGTAAATCTTCAGAAAATGGGCAAAATCACATATGGAACTAATTGTATTGCAGACGAGGTCATGCAAGATATATGGCCATAAAAGAATAACTAATCACAGCCCTGAGGAAAATCATTAACCCCACAAGCCACCATATTCTTGTTGTGGCCTCCTCCATTTTCAAGGAGAGGGCTTTACCCTGAATGCAAAAGGGCTCTCCTTTGCTTCTCATTATTCCCTTTTCTGGTTAGCACCCTCTTCCTTTCTTTCAACAGGCTTTCTTGTAAATGTACACACATACCGACACAAAAACACACACAGGCATACAAACAACACCACTCCTTTTCCTCCTCTGTCATCTCTCTCTGTAACTCGTTTCAGTCCAATCCCCAAAGCACCAGAAATGTCAGTGATTAAACACAACCAATTTGGCCTGCCTCCAAGCTAGCCTCCATCTGATTGGTTTCCACCCTGCCCCAGTTTGGAGCTCTGTTCATTAGATCAGCCTGACCCTATAGCACTAACTCCCACAGAAAAGAAGTTAATCAGAGAAGGGGGTAGAGCTCTTGAAACAAGGCAGTTTTACCCCAAACTCACTGGAGCAATTATGTGTTAATTAGAGCTTTGTCAGGCATCAAGTATGACAAATCTGGACAAATGCAGCAGGTGTGATTC